CGTATATCGATCACCCCCTTTTGATTAGTAGATGGCTATTATTTAAATTTGGTTAAGGTACATTCTTGGCATTGGTTCTTAAGTACACATAATTATGCCATAAAAAAGGATACAGATTCCCAAGTAGCTTTTACTTTTTTCAACAAATTCTCTCTATACCAAAACAATGCAAGTTGCAGTTTTTCTTGTTCAACAGTTCCTTTTGGTCCCTTTGATACTACAAATTGTTTTGATGAAGGGATTGGTTGTGTATATTCTCTTTCACATAGCGCGATCTTTCTAATTGGTAATATAATACTATAATATTACAAACGAACATTTTATTAGAATAACCGTAAATGTGGATTATTTATTATTCAATTATTATAAACTAGAGCTGGAATGTTAACTAACCGTGCAGTGGCAGCAGGTTGGATTGTAGTAGTGATACTTAATGGTTCAATATCCTCTCCTATAAAAATAATGCATTATGACTACAACCTATTTTCAACTAGATCAAAAGAAGTAAAAAATACAAGACATACCTTCATCAGATTCAATCGTAACGTTAAATGCAGAGTGCCATAAATTTCTTATATCAAATGTTAACAAACAATAGTTATTTTCCATCCTAACCATGAAATCTTCTGAACCACTATTCCATCGCATTAATTTAATTAAATCTTCAACTAATTTATTATGTTGAATATCATGTGTACCATTAACAGCATTGGTACAATTATCGGGACCATTTAATGGTTTGAAGTTTAGTATGTCCATAGAAACCGGTTCAAGATTTTGATGAATAGTTAGAAGAACTGGATAATAAACTTGTCTAGTATAGAAAGTTTCATAATCAATATAATTAGGCCTATTAATATATCCGTAATCTATTTGTACCATGCCGCTAACACTGTTGACAGGTATATTAAGAATAAGTTTATAAATAAAATTCATACATTAAACTTTATAAAAAACAAAAGAAACAAACCATCCACGTTTTCCGAAAAGCTTAATAGTGATAACAAACTCCTCTGCTGGTAAAATACTAAATGGTGTATCTGGCTTTTCCCAAGAGAAAACAGGCTGTTTGTGAGCAAACAACTCCATTTCATAAGCCTCTTCCGCTGGAATATCGGATGATTTTAGGATGGCCTGTGTGTTTTCGATTGTTGAATCTTGAAACGATAAGCTTATATAATCAACAGGAATTTTTCCCACGTTCTCGAGCCTCATCGTCATCTCCATTCTATTGCAACAGAGTTATATATCAAATATTTAAGATTAAGAAGGAAGCCTTTATTAAATACATACTTTTCTCCTTCAAAAAGCATAACAGCTCCATGCATCAATGAAGTAGACTTAATTTTAATTAATGGCTGTTCGACAATTACAGGAACCTTTAAAAATTCTGCAACAAACTCGGGTTTTTGTTCAGAGTTTGATTGAGCTCCTGGCTGCGAGCTACCTAAATGATCAAATTCAAACTTAGAAAGACGATAAGAAAATCTATAATTAGTCAAAAGAGCTTACCCTCATGGCTTATACGATCCAACATAGCTAATCCACTATTTTTTTTTTTTAATTAAAGGTTTCAAAAATATCGAGGAATCCATTATAAAGTGCGAATACAAATATGTATATAAATTTATACATGCTTACCATTTTTTTATCCTTTTATTGTATTCATCTTCCTTCTCTTTCTTTTTAATTTCATCTGCATCAGGCGGCAAATAAACACAAAATTCCTGTTCAAGACATCCATGAACTTTTATTTTACATCCCCTGACAGCCAAATCTCCAGCTTCAGTTGGAGTGCCTGATACGCGTAACGTAACTGATGTATTAGCAGGGATGACAGTAGACATAGGGTTTGGTGTGAAACCTACCCCATCAGCACTATAAAAGTAATGAATAAATCTGAGTTTATTACTTGATAAATAAAATAAGATTTAATAAAACTTCGCAGCAAACCTCACAGAGATGCTTTGTATATCTAAATCAAATGCAAAAGGATTTGCTAATGTGACCAAAAAGTAAGCGGTCTCGTTTGCTACAAGATGTGTCTAAATATTTAATTTAGTTAAATTTGAATATAAAAAAAGTGTATATCCTTTAATAAAAGAAACACATATAAATGAAACGAATTATATTAGCAATGAATACCTGAACAGCATCAGCTTTTGTTTGAAAAGAAGGACGATAAAGGAATGGATCTTTTTCACCATCTTCTCGGGACAAGGCATTTTTTCCAGGACGCGGATATGGTATCCTTCGTGGTGTAGGACTAAACAATGGATTAAGATTGTAACTATTTTGACAGATTAATTTCATATACTTTTAAGATTAAATCGAATTTATACATACCGACATACTTGGATACCTCGAACAATGTTTAAACCCCAATATTTAAATTCCATATCTAGCCCTTGTTTTTTTCCGGCGCCAACGACCCTTGGTAGTGAGCTTGATAAACGGAGTTGTTCATCTCTAGGCAAATACATAAATAATTTACGTAAGAGCCTCGTTGTATACTTGATAATAGATGGATAATCTGTAAATTGAAAACAACACTTAAGTACAAAAAATTAGGATTATAAACATTAGGCATGCCAATAATTATACCAGGTAAAGCTTCGGACACTATTAATGCATCCTTCAATATGTCGATTTGAAGGTCCGGCCAGCCAAAGGCAAGGGGTCTCACATCTTCAACCGCGGCAGAAAAATCTTCGTTGTCAACAGCATCCCCCACACCATACACATCACACACCTTTTTTAAACACGTTAATAAGCCAGCATCACTTCCAGTTTGCTGCTTCTGTGCTGACTGATAACCTGAACGAGGTTTTGCAAGAAGTGGTAAAATTAACAAGGCTGTTTGACGAAGGAAAAAAGCATGTTTTCGGCGCAAATTAATTATAGAAAAAATAGTAGACAATGTAGTAGTTATATGAATCTATAATTGATTAAATTTAATGTAATTGAAAAAAAAACTATTAATAGACAAACACAAAAATCAACATTTTCGAGTTAAAATACCTGTTCAACTATTGACATATCTTCAACATATTGTCCATAACCTTTCATCGCCCATTGAGTAACTTCAACCTTTGACACCCCACTAACAGAACTTAGACCCCATTTTTCATTTGCACCTTTCTCTGGAAGGCCACCCTGAACAATTAGTGTTAAAGCATTATCACCCCATCCACCTGAAACCCATATACTGGCCAACATTTTAGCAATCTTTAAACAAGCTTCAGCATATATTATATGTGGCACTTGATTATTGGATGAATGTGAAGTTTTTGCATAAAGAGTAAGGATTGTAACATATTTATCTGTTATATCTGCCCAGAGAGGTTTAGGTGTGTCGGGTAAAGAAGGGCTCGATGGTGGGTTTGGATTCGGAGATGGAGGGGATTGTATAATATGTGACTTTATACATGCATAGATATTAATAAATGGTTGATTAACGATGTTACACGGATGTAAAACCCTACCTCAATATCAGTTTTTAAATATGCAGAAATCACCAAAGCAACACATAAACCTTCTAAAGCAGATCCATGCCATAAAAAATCCCCATTTGCTTTCATTGCTTCAATCGCTAATGAGTAACTGATTAAGCAGAGAATAAATAAAATAAATAAATAAGATAAAATACAACTAGAAATTTTTAAATTTGTCACATATATATATGTATAATTACTTTGTTACAGCGTCAGGTAACCTTCCGGCCATTAAAAATAAATCCGCTATTAGTTTGTAAATTCTTCCTTGTGCCCTCCTTTTTAACTTCATATCAGTTGGCATGCTAGCAATGTTCACTAAAGTCGATGAAGAAAAAGATCGACCATGGAGAGGATTATCTTTTAGATTTACACCAGCAGTTGTACCACCCAAGCCAGCAGTAGTCATGGCTTGCGAAGGAGGCGTGAGTGGTATTGTGGAAATTTGGACTGATTTGAGATCAGGAGATGAGTAATAATGTGTTGGAGAAGAATATCTACCATTTTGAGGTAGAGATCCATTAGTTGAAGTTACGTTCGATACTGGAATTTTAGGTGAATATATGATAGATTTCTTTTCAATACTGGATGCCTTAAAAAAAATTTAATTAATTAACCTGTAAGATTTAAAAGACATATGTATAACGAATATTCACTATATAACATACCAGAGCACCAAACTCCGTTAGAATATTGCTGGCAAAATCAGAAATCATGGTGCTCATATAAAATCCTATATTTCCAACATTAGGAATCATTATCAGTCCTTTGGTATCATCAGGTTGATTTTCTGCAGGGTCGAATGCAAAACATCGGTAGGCAACAGATGATGAATACTTCCCGAGATATAGTTAAAAATTAGGGCACATGTTAAAATCTTAAGATCATCTTCAATTTAAAACTAAAGCTTTCCTACTTACATTCTTGTAAATCTCCGTAAATTTTTTAAATCCATCGTTCAAATTTGTCCATTCACAGCAATCCATAATGCCAATAACCTATTTTTATGATTGATCACAATATCTTTAAAACTGAGCCAAATAAAATTAAGACCACAAATCCTCAGAAAAGGGAGAAAATCGATAACTCAATTAACATACCCCAAAAATTCTACGGTGCATTTGAAATTCCTCAAGATAAGAATGTTCTGGTTCGTAAGAAGTTACAAAATTTAAATGTAACTGGCCTTCATTAAATATCTGTGAGCTGAACATAGCTGTGATTTTATTTTTGTTGTATATGATCGATTAAAAAGAACGGAAATAAGGAATTATTTTGGGCATAAGTAATGAATGCATTATTATTATTATTATTATTATTTTAATTATTGATTCTGGCCATCGTTTCTTAGCTGGTTCAAAAGATTTGGTTGAACAATACGTAGAAATAGTATTAAGTAAATCCTCCCAATCTTTAGATCGCTGAAAATTAAATACATTTTGAACAATTAAATCCTATACTCAGTACCAAGATAGAAAGAAAAGTACCACAAATCGTTGCATCTTAAATTTTTTCTCGGGATATTCCTTGGAAGCTATTGGTTTTACCAATCAAAAGGCTAGCAGTGAAAGAGAGAACAGTTGTACCTACATTGACCACCACGCATGTCTGGGGGGACGTCTCCCAGCTTGACGATCGTGTAATTTTTAACTAATTCAACCTTCTGATGAAACGTCGCAGCCTTAATCGGATGAACTGGGACAAGAAGGATACGTATTCGAGCGGGTGCTGTGAAAATTAGAGGATCCATTTCTTAAACTTAATAATTTTCAAGAAAGAAAAAAAATTTATACCCACATGAGAAATATTATGCACGGACATCACTTGTGATTGGATGATTCCTATTGCATACTACATATTAACGTTCCCATAATATTTTTTGAAATTCAATTCTCAAAAAATTTAAAATTTATCAAAATGGATGATTCTGGAACAAACGACCTTGCGCGACCGGTAAGGGCAGTTTTGACATTATGATCGTAGGGAAGGTTCACTAAAAACGAACTTCGAATTTGACTTATAGCAAATATCCACAACGCCAACTGCTACCGAATCTGTTCCTACGCCTATACCCCCGGCGGTTCCTCCTCGTACATTCCAAACATATGTGCCACCAAAGCCCGTGGTGAGAACACCTTTGTGGAAAAAACTTGCATTTGTTTTGCTTATAACTGGCACTTTTAGTGCATTAATGATTACAGCAATCAAGGTAACTGCCATCCAACGTTCGACATTGCACGTGTCCATATTTGTTTAATTACTAGATTTTTTTTTTTTTTTTTTATTTAGAAATTTCTTGGTCCAATGGTTACCTCGATTATCTTTGCCAGGCAACAGCTCTATTCGCATCAACTTTCTCTTTTTAGAAAATTCAATGAAACACTTTTATCATTCGTATCCCTGCTAAGAACACCTCGCGTGTCGTCATATGACGACTCAAAGATCAATGTGGATGATGATTTACCAAATCCAGCTGACCAAGATGAAATCTCAACACCACCCTCTCAACTTGCTCCACTTTCAACCGATTTAACAACATTGACAGAAAGATTGAATACGTATCAACAAAGTCTAGAAAAGAATAATGACATATCTGATTTAAAACTTTCGTTTAATGCATTAACCACATATCTCACAGAGAACACATATCCATATAAAATTTGGCCTAATATTGAACGTGGTGATCCAGCTGTGGCAAAGATCAAAGAAGAAATTAGGGGGTTGAAGGGATTACTAATCAATCTTAGAAATTTTCCAAAAATTCCTGCATCTCCAACTACCTACTCAACACAATCTTTAGCATCTAAACTACCAACAGGATCACAAATACCAGAAATCGAATGAAATATAATCTTTAAATAAATTGTATCTGTATTCTTTAGACATGATCTAGCGTCATTGTATTTTGGTTTGAAAACCTCAAATGTTTGCAATCTGTAAAGGAGATGGGGTATTATAGCGAATTAGGTATTGTGGCGAATCGCGATATCTCGTGATTAGGGATGTAAACTTAATTAAATTTAAATACTAAAATAATTTTATTTTTCGAAAATATTGTTGTCTTGATAATTAAAATAATTACGATATATCATAATTAAATTTAGAATTATAAAAACAAAATTTTGTTACAGTAGTTCAACAATAATATTATCATTGATAAATCATATAATCAGTTTATTTTTATTTCTTTCGAACTTGTTTTTTCAATACAATTAACGAATCAACTTTTACAAATTTATCGTAGTTCAAAAAAATTACGCTCGTTACACAACACTAACGGGCTTAAGGGTAGAGGGTACACAAATTACTTTTCATAGTAATCATATGGTAGATCATTTTATAATAGCAAATCAATTGTATCTATATGTTATTTATATTGTACTACCTAGAAAAATCTTGTACTACCTAGAAAAATTTACTAGTAACTACCCCAGTATCGCCACCAAAAAGTTACTGACACGTGATTTATTGTGGTGCAAACCAATCACAAAAAATTACTGACACGTGATAGTAAATCTAAATTACTGACACGTGATAGTAAAAATTAAATCTAGAATTAAGAAAAAACAAATCTTTAAAATATCAAATAAATGAAAATAATTGCAATATTTAGAGAAATACTAAATACAAATATAATTCAATGTTTGCGGCAATTAAAACAGACTGTCTTAAACTTTCACTGGAAAATCTGCTTATAATATTATGATCGTAATATATTTATTATTTATTTTTCTTAAATAAATAAATAAAAATAAATAAAATAAAACAAAAATAAATAAAAAAATAAAATAAATAGCAATATAATAATAAATTCGCTAAGGTAGGCTGCTGTACAAAGAACTTTTCGCATCACCAGATTTTAAATAAATGGTCTATGTTCATTCTTTTTAATTTATTAAACAAAATAAGTTTCTGTATAATCGAATATTTTAAACTTGATATAAAAATTAAGAAATAATATCTACTTACATGATTGAACGTAATATTTAAAACGATTATATCCTAAAACTGTTAAATTACTTATGATTAAAATCTTATGGTAACGTCTAAACTAAATCCTAGAATTAAACCAAACAGTAATAATCTTATTATAATACACTTCAAATAGTTTGTTCCTAGTTGTTCTAATGGCATTGCGAAGAGTAATTGTTAAATAAATGTAATGAAATTTTATAAAAAAATGTAACCCAAGCTTAAAACAAAATTGAATTGAATTAAAAAAATTTTTTAGTAACATTAAATCCTCTATTAATTTTTAGAGGATGTATCCATGAGTTATAATTCTAGGAAAATTTTGTATGATTAGCTGATTTGTGTCAATTAACTGTGTCGTGAACAATCTTTGCTAGTGTTTTCTCTTCTAAATCAAGATAAACCATCCAGATAAGTCTGAGTAGTATTTTACAAAAAATAACGGCCATTGCTTTTCTTATTTTAGAATCAAGTAACAGTAATAAATGTTTTCGTGCTCACCTAAATTAATGCGAATAAAATGGAAATTGAATGGCAAAAATTGATAAATTTAGATTAATAATGATATTAAATAATAATCTTCAGGTATTTAAATAGCAGAAAAAAATTGATAAATTTAGATTAATAATTATATTGAATAATAAATATTTATGAACTTGAACAGCTTATCTGAAATGTTTAGAAAACTAAATGCTTTTACACTTGTAATCTAAATTAATGCGAATAAAATGAGAATAAGATTAAATCGTAAATATTATGAACTTGAATAGCATATTTAAAACTTATATTCATAACCGTTTTTTATACTTACGATCTAAATTAATACACTTGAATAGTGTCACGGTTTTTTTAGAAAAAAAATCGTGACTTGTAGTAACGAGAACGTGTAAGTCCGGGTTCATGAGTATGTTGTAAGGCTAAGTTGTGGCGAAGGCTTAGAGGTTTAGATCTGTACAAATAAATATTGTATTCGTCATTTTTGTTTATTTTTATATCTATAGATTCTTTTTATTTGTTTGTTTGTTATTGTGGAGCCCAGGGTTTAGGTCTGGAAAAGCTTAGGAATGTAATGGTAAAATCGGCTTAGAAGGTATAGGTCTGGACGGGCT